AACAAGAAAAAGACTCACATTTGCTAAAACTTAGGGTAAGTTCCATAATGACCAAACTGATACAACTCTATTGAAAACCATATTCAGTGACAGAATGGCTGAGTGGTTAAGAAGATAGACAAACTTGGTTCAGAACCTGGTTCTGTCACTGTCTTGCTGTGTAACTTGGGCAATTGACTTAATCTTTTGGTGTCGCAGTTTCCTCACCTGTAAAATGGAGGTCATAGTAGACTCTCCACAAGGTTGCTTTGAGGCTTAAATGAATTAATACTGTGTTTATACATGTTGAATAATGCCAGGAACATGGTAAACTGCAGAAAACGTTAGTTATTATTATTCAACGGCCCAACTATACTGTATTTGCTTGACATCAGATCAAACTGTCTTTCATCCCCACTCACTCTCTGAATCATGATTCAGTAGAAAAGAGCTGAATCAATAAGAAAACTGAGGAGCTAATTTATGTGCTTCATTGTCTCTCTGAAGCAGTTTTACCATGGGCTTATGCCCACTGGCACTCTTATGAATGTCTGTTCCTATTACCTTTTTATTACAGAGGCATGTTTTATAATAATTCTATAACTAAGCTGTTGTAAGTTCTTATATTACCTGTGGGGAACTGAAGTTCAGAGATACAAAGTGAATTAGTGCCAGAATGGAGAAAAGAACTTTGACTTTTCATCAGCAGGCCTATTGTAGAGAAGACTTACAAATCAGTAACTCTAAACATCCAAGTAGAATTTACCAGTGCTTAACTGTTTTAAACATGCACTGGAAGTATTTGAATGAAAATGTAATTTTTCCAGCTTTCCTTAAATACTTATGGAAATTGTTGCTTAGGCAATATTTCTGAGTGCTTCATCTTTGGGAAACACTGCTATGAACATTTTCTTTCATGGCATGCTACTGAAGTAATTTTACAAACGAGATGAAAAGAAAATAGATATTTATTGCATTTCTTCTAGGTATCAGGCATCATCTCCTTTAATCTTAGTGCAGCTTTGCAAACCATATTGCTATTTTACAGTTGAAAAGATTGGGGCTCAGAGGGGTAAACTTCCCACTGGTCACAAACTGATCTTCGATTTAAGGGTCAGTAACTTATTTTTTTTTGTTTTTAATTTTTATTTTATTATTTTTATTGTTTTAGATAGAGTTTCACTCTCTTGCCCAGGCTGGAGTGCAGTTGCAGAATCTCAGCTCACAGCAACCTCTGCCTCCTGGGTTCAAGTGATTCTCCTGCCTCAGCCTCCAGAGTAGTTGGGACTACAGGCATGCGCTGCCACACCCAGCTAATTTTTTTCTATTTTTAGTAGAGGCGAGGTTTCCCTATGTTAGCTAGGATGGTCTCGATCTCCTGACCTCGTGATCCACCTGCCTCGGCCTCTCAAGTGCTGGGATTATAGACGTGAGCCACTGCGCCCAGCCTTTATTTTTTATTTTTAATTTCAATTTTAATTTTAGATTCAGAAGGTACATGGTCAGATTTATTATGTGGCTATGTTGCATGATGCTGAGGTTCAGAGTATGAATGATCCCATCACCCAGGCAGTGAGCACAGTACCCAATAGGTAGGTTTTAGCTTTTGCCCCCTCCTCCCTCTTTCCCCTCTAGTAGTCCCCAGTGTCTGTTGTTCCTATCATTATGTTCATAAGTACTCAGTGCTTAGCTCTCACTTATAAGTGAGAACATGTGGCATTTGGTTTTCTGTTTGTGCATTAATTTGCTTAGGATAATAGCATCCAGTTGTATCCATGTTGCCACAAAGGACATGATTTAGTTCTTTTTTTATGGCTATGTAGTATTCTATGGTGTATATGTAGTACATTCTCTTTATCCAATCCACTATTGATGGGCACCTAGGTTGATTCCATGTCTTTGAATAATGCTGTGATGAACATATGAGTGCCTACGTTTTTTAGGTAGACTTATTTATTTTCCTTTGGCTGTATACCCAGTAATGGGATTGCTGGGTCAAATAGTAGTTTTTTATTAAGTTATTTAAGAAATCTCCCAACTTATTTTCACAGTGGCTGAGCTAATTTACATTCCCATCGACAATATACAACAGTATATAAACATTATCTTTTCTCTGCAGCCTCTTCAGCATCTGGTAGTTTTTGATTTTTTGATTTTATTTATTTATTTATTTATTTTTGAGAGAGAGTTTCACTCTTTTGCCCAGGCTGGAGTGAAGTGGTGTGATCTTGGCTCACTGCAACCTCCGCCCCTGTTTCAAGCAGTTCCCTGCCTCAGCCTCCCAAGTAGCTGGGATTATAGGCACCCACCACCACACTTGGCTAATTTTTGTATTTTTAGTAGAGACAGAGTTTCACCATGTTGACCAGGCTGGTCTTGAACTCCTGAGTTTAGGCAGTCTGCCCCCCTCTCCCTCCCAAAGTGCTAGGATTACAACCGTGAGCCACTGTGCCTGGCCTAGTTTTTTGCTTTTTAGTAACAGCCATTATGACTGATGTGAAATGATATCTCATTGTGGTTTTGACTTGCATTTCTCTGATTACAGATGTTGAGCATTTTTTCATATGTTTGTTGGCCACTTGTATGTCTTCTTTTGAGAAGTGTCTGTTCGTTGGCCACTTGTATGTCTTCTTTTGAGAAGTGTCTGTTCATGTCTTTTGCCCACTTTCAATGGGTTTATCTGTTTTTTGCTTGTTGAATTGTTTAAGTTCCTTTTAGCTTCTGGATATTAGACCTTTGTTGGATACATAGTTTGTGAATATTTCCTCTCATTCTATAGGTTGTCTGTTTATTCTATTGATAGTTTCTTTTGCTCTGCAGAAGTTCTTTGCTTTAATTAGGTCCAACTTGTTAGATTTTGTTCTTGTTGAAATTGCTTTTGAGGACTTAATCATAAATACTTTCCCAAGGCTAATGTCTAGGATGGTATTTCATAGGTTTTCTTCTAGGACTCTGATAGTTTGAAGTCTCACATTTAAAATCTCTAATCTAGTGACTTATTCTAGAGTTTCTCTCTTTCTCTTTTTTTCTTTTTTTTGGCAGAGAAAATAAGAAATGTTCTTCTGGAACCTCTCTATGATAGAAATAAGTGATTTGTGTTTTCTAAGTGAGTTCATAATTTGTATGATATAAAATGTATATACAGTGATTCTCACTATCAATTACTGAGCAATTTATACCTTTGGAAGGTATTTACCATACTAATACATTAAAAGTTGCTTTCAAAAAGTAAAAAAAGACAAAGAAAAATATAATTCATTAATAAATTCAAATTCTGCTTCTGTGTTTTGACTGTTTTGAGTTTGATTTGTACCTGCCCTAGGTCTAAACACTTGTACTCTTACTTGTATCTCCTTAGCATTATTACGTGTCTTATTTTATTTATTTTATTTTAAATACATGCTGTCAATAAGGTACAACTTAGTAACATGATTAAAGTTAGGGTGGAAATAGTTATGCAGGCTCAGATTTTTCATATAAATTAACTTGTTATTGCCCGTTATTTCTTATTGGGCCATCATATCTTTTTTACTCTAGAGTGAACTTCCAATAGATAAAGTTTTCCATTTCTTCCTAAGCTCTTCTCCCAGTAGAATAGTTTGTTCTTGACAATAGATTTGTTAGTCCTCTCATGAAGATAAGCATAAAGCTATCTCATGAAGGCCTATGTGACAATGAGTTTGTAACAAATTGGACCAAAGTAGGCATCAGCATAGATTAAATATTAGATTAGTTAGCTGATTGCTTGGTTCTCAGTTAAGTCAGCATGTCCCCGCTCCTCTTGTGTGCTCTGCTTTGTATTGCGGGGGTTGAAAGTCTGTGAACTACATTGTTTTCAGAATCTCTTGCTGATAGAATTCAAGGTTAGATTTTGCCAAAAAGAAGCATGAGTGCAAAATTTCAAAAAGTGGGAGCCCCCTATTGCTCCTCAGGTAGCAGAGGGCTGGCTGATAGGCTTCATTTTCTATGAGTTGCTTACCCTATTGCTCAGGTAGCTGTTCTCTTGCTAGGAATTTCTCACAGTTCTGCAGTTTCCTGACTGGAAAGGTAAGCAACAACCCTGACAAGCAGAAGCAGCTTTCCCAGATTCTCACTCTTTCACCCTTCTTATCACTCGTGTCCCTGTATTCAGTCTCTTCTTACTAGAAAAGTTTAAGTTGCTTTTGTCTTTGCTGACAAAACTCTCACTGCGACGCTGATATTAACCAAGATTATTTCACTATGACCTTTGCCAAGACATCTCAACTTTCTGTCTTCTCATTCTTAAAACGAGAAGACGAGGTTGCATAACCTTTTTATAGAATTTTGATTCTAGCCAGAATGTGCTCTAGGAAGATGTTTCCTTGGAAGTAAGAGACAAGAGATAGTTCTGTACCAGTTGTTATTAACTGTTAGATATGCTTATGTGTAAGTGTTGTTTAGCCTACTCAGTCTTAGTATCAAAAAACATTGATGCAATATTTTAAGACTTAATTTCACATACCAAAGTGGAGTTGTGAACTGTCTTTAAAACTCAGAAGATCTGGCTGGGTGCGGTGGCTCACGCCTGTAATCCCAGCACTTTGGGAGGCTGAGTTGGGCAGATCACAAGGTCAGGAGATCAAGAGCAACTTGACTAACACGGTGAAACCCTATCTCTACTAAAAATACATAAAATTAGCCAGGCTTGGTGGCGGCACCTGTAGTCCCAGTTGCTTGAGAGGCTGAGGCAGAAGAATGGCCTGAACCCAGGAGACGGAGCTTGCAGTGAGCAGAGATCAAGCCACTGTACTCCAGCCTGAGTGACAGAGCGAGACTCGGTCTCAAAAAAAAAAAAAAAAAAAAAAAAAAAATAGAGCGAGACTCTGTCTCAAAAAGGAAAAAAAAAGTCAGGAAGGAACTTAATTTGGTGTCAGATCAGTGAAAAGAAGATCTCACAAGTGATATCACAGTCTGGGTCATTAATGTTCCTTTCCCATCTCCTTACATGGAACCTCATGTGCATACCTCTAATTAGTGCAGCTGGAACCAAGGAGGCTTCTGATGACGATTACATGGAAAATTTCCAAAGAAGCTTTTCCATTTTACAGAGAACCTAAAGCATAACCTGAATCAGCTCCCCCTTCAAAAATTCTATTCCTGCAGGGAAAAAGGTAATTATATGCATTTAGGTATGGATAGCTTTTGTAAAAAACTAATTTTAGTTGACACTATCTAATCACAAGGAATTATTTCATAATCATGAAATAATAATAGTCCTAAAACTCTAAGGTTCAAAGAAACCCTTCAGTAAAATTTAGCTCCTGGTGCCTATATATACTTACTAAGTGATGCCTTAAAGTATATTTGACAGTAATTTTTTTCTTCTAATTTTATAATTAAACTTCTCTATCATGCACCATCAAGTCATTAGTCAGCCATCATCTTTTGTTCTTTGACTTCTGAACATGTGGTAGAGTTACGTAAAAATGGACATGACATTTACAACATCTCAAAATACTTATGGAATATTGCTCTTCTCTGTCTGACTCATACTTCAGAGAGAAGAAAGCAGACGGTGGAATCTCTCCAAGCGATGATAGACCGGGCTACTGGGTGACAAGTGGTGAAGCATCCAGGAGCCAGCAGTTGCCAGTGGTCCCCTTTACCCGTGAGGTCAGCATCTCTAACACATACCCTTCTCTTCACATAATAGACTTGCACCTGTCTTTCAGTTGGGAATGACAAAGAAAATATTTTTCTGCTCTCATCCACTCTGTTTTCTGGTGATTTCCTCTTTTATCCTGACCCAGAGAACAGATGTTCTGCATCCACTAAGGTCGGTTTTACATTGTTTTGGCTTTCAAGGAGTGTTTTTAACATTCCTGCTGATGATTTAGCATAAATTGTTCTTGTAATTAGCGTGGTTAATGAACTCCCCACCTATCTTTTAGTAGGTAATTACAAAGCTGGTGTATATTAGCAGGTACTGTATAAAGATGAGAGGAAGGCTGGTGATTATGGATTCCATCCTCATGTCTCTACGACCAAATCCCAAACGGTTTAATCATCATCAATGTCAACCTTTGCCATATCTTCATTCTACATGCCATATATTATAATGTTGCATTTACATTTCATCTTGACTTTGATATTTGCTCCTTCAGAATAGAGGTGCCCTGATTAGACAAGGCTACTGGCAATTGAAAGAAATGTTTTAAAAATATGCACATGCCATTACCAATTTCCCACGAGTGATTCTCTGTTTTACTGTGTGTGTTTACCAAAGGCTTTTTGTTTTGTTTTGTTAGATGTAGTTATGGCTAGAAAAGATTGAGTCTGTGGCAAAAAATTGACAATTACCAAGAGCTCCATAGTCCGATTTTTTTAGTGAGGGGCAAGGGGACAGGAAGAAGGAGATCTCTTCATGTAGAATGTAAACTTACTGAGTATTTCAAATATATAAACATAATTTATATATGTATGTGTGTCTATTTATATTCACTGAAGCCCTATTATAAGAATTGTATATACAAGCTATAATTATTGTCATTCTCTTCCTATACTCCTTTCTCTCTGATCATTTCATATCAACTTCTGATTAAATAATATTGGGCAATCATAGATATCAAGAATCTTCTGCACCAATCAACCACTGAATTTCAAATATTTATTAAAGAACTGGGTGGTTAGCTGTCTGCACTCAGAGTTATTCCTGCCAAACATTCACCACCACTGTGCTAGGTGCCACATCTCTCTATCACTTCTCTCAGGACTCGCTGCTCCTTGTGCCTTTCATTCCTCCCTCAAGTTTTAGGAACCAGAGGATGAACTTCTGAATAGATAATTGCATTTTGTGACTCTGTACCCTAATTATGAGAGACTTGGGAGAGGAAAATCAAACTTTTCCTGATTCTTATGACATTTACTTAAGAAGAGTGGGCATGCTTTGACCAGAAAGATAGTGCAGAAGAAAAGTGTCAGTAGTGAGAAGCAATGGTTGATTGGAATTCTAAGTTCTGAAAAGGACATTGTTATTTATGGAGCATATACCTATAGAATGTCTACTGGCTCAACTATACTCCACACAGTCGGCTAATTGGAGTCTATTGCCAAGGAACACACAATAGTGCATTCTCTCCATTTAGGGGTGCCTTGGAATGCTGCTGAGCAAAACATGACAAGAGTCCATTGCACATGGGTTCAAATATATACATTTCCGAGCTGTGTGACTTGTAGGAAACCACTTAAATGTCCTGAGCCTCATTCTCTTCTTCTTTAAAATTGATAGTTCATAAAGTTGTGAAGATTAAATGAAATGGTAAGTCTAAAAATTATTTGAAAACTGGAGAGTGCTACAAAAATGTAGAAATAATGATTAATCAAGAGAAATATTTCTGTCATCTCTTGGGTAGGACACTGTAAACTTAAATTCACAAGGTCTGAAAATGGCAGCTCAAACCAACCATTTCAGAACTTTATTACATGTTCTCAAATGTCTCTGAACATGAGATATGAGGGCTAGTCTCACTAGTTGGTGGGTTCTACTAATTGACTTTGTAAGCTGAATGAGAGACTGAACAGATTTTTCTATTTTTCACAGTTGTTCAATGGAAGGCAGTAGGAGAACTATCACTGTCTTCTTCAACAAAGTCACGAGACTAAATATTTGGAAGAGGATTCAGAATGGAAATGAAATGAGGCATTGTGTGTTATGCTGACCTACTTTAAACACTACTCCTGGAAAATGGGAGTCTGCACAGGAGCTTCCTCAGAATACTTCTCTTGGTATGATTCTCATGAGACTGTACTAAAATTATCTCGATGAACAACTTCGTGTTTTTTGCTTGGCATGGGTTGTGGGAAGAAAGCAAGAATGCACTATATCACCATTTGTATTAATTCTTTGGACTGACATGGTTATTTTTATTTGCAGCAGGTTTATATTATCCTCAGAAGGATCTTTTTACGAAGGGATTCCTCGTATGAGGTTCTGCCAGAGCAGATGCACTTTAAATGACAGGTTTAGAATGGCCTTTTCTCTGTCAAGCAAGTTGGCACAAGCTGGTTGTCAAGCGACACAGTGGCTGGCATCTATTAGCTTACTGAGGATGAAATGAGTGGCATTCCATCCAATACTGACTATTTTTTATTTTATTTTTTTACGGTGTCTCCTTAAAATGATCAGATGATTGGACTCTTTGTAGGGGCCTCACTCATGATGAAATGCAACCCATTACTAACTATCCAAGGTGGCAATGCTTATTTGGTGAGTTTTGTTCCTAATAACAAGATGAAGGGACAGTGAGTTCCTCCTTTGTAAAGACCTGAGAAGCTCTGGGAACTGGCAGATTCCCAATTTTTATTTTAATTCTGATTACATAGTAAAAACAACTCACAGAATTTAATGTCTAATTTGAGACACTTTAATCTTCGTTTCATCCATTAATTTGTCAAGACAATGTTGAAAGAGAAACTTGAAAGCAAGTTCTCCCTGTCAGAAAAACCCTTTCAGGGCCTTGAGGAAAAATCTCTCTTAATCACATTTTATTATACTTTTTTCTAAGTATCTGAACAAGGAGCCCATAACACAGGCATGAGTCTGAACACCAATTCTTATTCCAGATAGCAACAAGTCATACTGGATGCAATCTCAACCTCTTTATGCACTTAGTAATTCCTATATCCCACAATTATTTGTGCAGTGTTAAGAAACTCAACCCTGTGGATTTCAGTTTGCTCATCTACAAAATCATAATATTGGACTAATTGATCTTTAAGGTCCTGTCAGATTTTTAAAATTATCTTTTTTTAAAAAAAGTATTTTATTAAAGACAATGTTAGAAGTAAAAACAATGGCATCATTATCATTTATTCAATCTAACCTGTCTAACCATCATATCTGAATTTAGTACTTAAAGCTTGGGGTTCTTTATTCTCAGACTTTACTGTTAATACTGATGAACTCCAACTCATGAATTTAGTGAAATACAAATACCCTTCTCTGGGAGTAAACTGTAATAATATGCTTCTATGTTGGGGGGAGAAAAACCCCAAACAGACCTTTTTTCTTTTAGATTTTGAATGGCTTGTCTAGCTCTTCCCCTCCTGCCCTAAACAATGCATGGGCGTTCTTTGTGTCAGTAATAGAAGCAAATGCATGTACTGTGTGTATGTGGTAGCAAACATTCAGGCAACGTATTTCCATGTTAGCTGATGGGCTTTGATAAAGTCAAATAAGAACCAACAGAGCAAGGCAGTTCTTAAGATAATAATACATTATCAGCTCTATCATATATACCCTTTTTATTTATGGATAAAATACCGGTCAATGTGACAGTACAATTCTTCAAAGACATGAATTGCATAAACTCGATATCTGCATTTCTACAACTACTGGTACCTCTTCCACCACTGTCAAACTCGATACAAGTCTCTGTGCCTAAACTTCTCAAAACAGTAGCTTGTGATGTGATATGGGGTCTGAAGTGTGAGAGATGGTCTGTAGTAGTGGATAAGCTTTCATTTTTATATAGAAACAGGTCATGTATTGGTAGGAAATCCTTCTTGCTGTGGAATCCAAGCAGAGTTGAAGGGCAGATGACAAAATCAAAACAGAACCCTCTGTTGTTTTTCCCCCCCCGTCATTTTAGGAAATTTCTTTTATCACTTTGATCATGCTACTTTGTGGACTTGTTTGGGCAAATCCACACCGTTAGACAGGCCCACTGACTTCCATCTAATAGGATCGTATTTATGTTGCTAGAAGGGCTGCCGACTGGCTTCATTTCCCCAGGAAGTAACTCTTGGCTTGCTCTGGCAGGGACATTATAAGCTTGCAGGCTTTATCAAATCTGTGAAACCAAGTGTGATTTACAGAGAGAGCTGGGGCAAAGAAATATACAGCAGTTGGATTCTAAAATCAGAAGTTTCCTCCCTGAAGAGGTAGAGGGAATTTGAGTCAGAAAGCCAACAAATAAGACCGATTTCAGCTTATCTTGAAAATTTCTAGACTTATTCATAAATTTGACAGGAGTGCTATCAGAGAGAAACACTTTGAAATGATAAAAAGTAAACACTCGACATGAGACCCAGAGATGTGGATATCTTTCAGATGGCTGGGCTTGGTGCAGAGAGCAACAGTGACAATAGAATATGATGCCACATTCTCTCTCTTTTATGTTCTCTTAAACTGCCTCTGGAAATGCGAATAGGGTGGGAATTATTCAGTCAAAAATGTACTTCGAAATTAAAAATTGAAACAAAAAACAAGGGAGGGTAGAATGGGCAGTGATGAGGATTTTTTCCCCATAGGAAAATGTCAGGAGAACAAAATTGGTATACGTTCCATTTTGCTTATTTTTCTGAATAGTAAAAGATTGGGAAATAGGAGAGGTTTCTTTTCCTTTTGGTTGTTGATAGGGCATTGCCACCTGCTCTAATAACAAAATTAAGCAGGGATGTGTGGAACACAAGCAGAACTTTTCATGATTGTTCTAGTTAATAGTTTGACAGTTAATATCATGAAGAAATTGCTTAAATCACTTAGGGATAGAATTTTAAAATCTCCAGAGATGATAGATTTATCCTAAATTTTAAGGGCCACAAAAATGTATTATTTTTCACTCTCCAGTAGGCCCATTATTTAAAAAAATATATATTTACCAGAAACAAATTACATATATATATGAAATTATGAAAGAGAAGGATTAATGTAATTTTTAATGGCTATACATGTGTATATATCTATTCAGTTCTCCATGTCCATGGGGGATAGGTTTCAGGACTCCTGTGGATACCAAAATCCACAAGTGCTCAAGTCCCTCATATAAAATGACATAGTACGGTTGGTCCTCGGTATCTGGGGGTTTCAATTAATGGTTGGTTGAATCTGGAGATGCAGAAACCCTCAGATAGATGGGTAATTGTACACACACACACACACACACACACGCACACACACATATGGCTATATACCTGTTGATGGAGTTTCTGACCAGCTTGCAACAAGATAACTGGTATAGCTATATTGAATTAAAATAATTTCAGCCTAAAGCAAAACAATTTATGTCTGCTAACCTGGGCAGCATTATCAAGAGTAAGTGTGTGTGTGTGTGTGTGTGTGTGTGTGTGTGTGCGCGCGCGCGCGCGCGCGCACATGCGCATGCACACGTGTTTGTATCTTTTTGAAATGCCAAATATAATTAGAGGAGTTCCTTCATCATCTTCAAGGATGTCTAAGTGACTTAATTTATGATGGAAACCATTGAACAATTTCAGTAAATATAGGAGTAAGTCATGTATTTCAAAGTAGTCTCACACAAGCATTTAAAAATACCGAGAGAATAACTATGGTTTAACACAATTTCATAGACTACTGTGGAGGAAAACTTTATCTTTTTTAGTAGAGGATAGTCCCAGTCATGAAGGAGCCAGGGCAAAGGGGAAAGTGGTAAAACAGTAATGCATGAACAAATTTGGAAAAAAATCAGAATGAAGAGGCCTGTTCTATGTAAAACAACAAAAAGGAATAATCTAGACCAAAGAATCTTGGATCTGTTTTTGGTTCTGAACTGTTAAATGGAACATTTTGAAAAGGGGAGATGAACTCGTTGTTGTGTCCCTGAAGCTCATGTGTTCTCAATGCCCAGCAAACATAGACTTTTCTTGCAGGGCATCTGGAGGGGGAGAGAGAGAGAGAGAGAGAGAGAGAGAGAGTTGGGGTGGGAAGGATCTAACCAGAAGCATTAGATTTTGTTGCCACATTTGGCCTGGTAGGCAACACATTTCCAAAATTGGCTTTTATCCCACAGCACCCTTTGAGGGTAAGATAGAAAAGCTTTTTTCTTTCTGACATTTTAATTTTCATGTCTTCCAAGGAATCCTACCATATTTTTGAGTAGGTACAACACATAGTACTTAATTTGTGCATTTAAATAAGTAGATCTGACAAAACAATAAAAGCTGTATAAGGTTTATGTGGGCAAATTGCCACTTCTTGAACTTTGAAATTTGCACGCAGAGTAAGTTGGAAGTTTGCTAATTAACTGTATGCACATGACCAGAAATAGGCTCACAAATATTGTTTCTTGTCACAAAGGATGTCTTTACAGTATGCCAAACAAAATGCACCTTCGGATGACATATCCAGGTCAAAAATGCTGTGTATCATAATATTTTTAGCTTCCTGGTCTCATCTTTTTCACTACTGTATTTGGCGCAGTTACCTGAGAACACTTTCTTTGCTGGTTGTCAGCTGTGTAGGATAACAAAGTAGAATACTTGCTTTAACCCATACAGTAGACTTTGGGGAAAACTGGCAATCTGTACCTCTTGTAGAAGAAACACGAGATGTTTGGCCTGTCAGATTATATGAAATTATGGAATCTTCGAATAGGAAGTACAATATTTACTAATGCTTTACTGAAACAAAAACCCCACATATAAAGAGACTCAATCAAGGCAGAAGATTATTTTGTTCACATGTAGACCAAGGGTGAGCAGTTCAGGATTGTAGGTAAGACTCTGCTCAAGACAGTCATTCAGGGTCCCAAATTCCTTCAATCATGTGGCTCCGTCCTCCTCCAGAGTGTTGCCATGTCTATTTAGTTGACTCTAGGTCATTGACAAGTCCAGATGCCATCCAGTAGAAACAAAAAAAGAGAAGAAGGCAAGAGAGGCAGCTTCATTTTTAAGATGATGATGCAGAAATTGGCTAGAATACTTGTGCTCATATCCCATTGATCAGAACTCTGTCACATGGATAGAGAGGTGCTGTGGATAATGAAAGCTGACAGAAATTCTAAGATAGAAGATATAATTCTACCTCTCTGTCTGGCTGGCAAATCCACAGAAACGGGTAAATCACGTTGAATATTACGGAGAAACTCCTTGGGCTTTTACATGCCTTCATTTCTATTGATTTAATGAAGGACTGATAAAAAATTTAAAATGTTAAGCCATTGAAGAAACTTCAAATAGCTTTCTCTTGATCTGTGAATTGTATGAATTAATGTGAGATTCATATAGCTTAAATATAGTTCATAGTTTCTTTTTAGTGTCCATTTATTTGAAAAAAATTAGGAGAGGTCTACTATAAAATTTGTCCTTGTGACTAATGAATTTAAATTACCTTAATGACTGTGAAAGTCAATACATTGATTAGTTCAATAAATGCTATTCATTGTACACCTCCTATGAGTCTGTGGTTGTTGTATGCACAAGGGAAGATACAAAGCTGAATAATTTGCATAGGTCTCAAAAGTCAATGCAGGTAAGGTTCCTGGGTCCAGATATTCTGACACCTTACAAAATGTGGGTATGAAAGACTTTCCACTCTAATCCTCTTTTTTTTTTCTGAGACAGAGTCTCGCTCTATCCCCCAGGCTGGAGTGCAGTGGAGTGATCTAGGCTCACTGCAACCTCTGCCTCCCCAGTTTATGCCATTCTCCTGCCTCAGCCTCCCAAGTAGCTAGGATTATAGGTGTCCGCCATCACGCCTGGCTAATTTTTGTATTTTTAGTAGAAATGGGGTTTCACCACGTTGGCCAGGCTGGTCTCGAACTCCTGACCTCAGGTGATTCACCCACCTCGGCCTGCCAAAGTGCTGGGATTACAGGCCTGAGCCACTGTGCCTGACCTGTATTGCCTCTGGATGTGACATTCATAAATCTTCAATTTTACATGAAAGAGAGAAAAAAACAGCAATAGATAGTTGCAGGTCCCCCAATCTCCTAATTAGTTCAATGAATGCTTTGTGATGACTATGTGGCAGGTACCTTGTAAGCATCTGAAACCAGTGGTGGAGAAGATAGTTTCTGTCTTCCTGAAACTTATGTTCTAAATCAATCATTCCCAATCACTGATCGTCAGCATAGTCCAGATATGCTTGCAAAGTTTTTCATTCAGCAGCTGTAGCAGGCACTACAATTATAAACATGGTGCCCCTTCCTTTTTTGGTCATCAAAAATATGCCTATTTAGGCTAAAAAAGAGCAGAGGCTTTGAACTATAGGAAATATTCTGGGGTCCAAACTATGGTACTGATTCAGTCAGTGTAGAGTGGATCTTTTGTTTTTTTGAGATGGAGTGTTGCTCTGTTGCCCAGG